TGTTCTCTCTCCCCCACCCCTGTTCTCTCCCCCACCCCTGTTCTCTCCCCCACCCCTGTTCTCTCTCCCCCACCCCTGTTCTCTCCCCCACCCCTGTTCTCTCTCCCCCACCCCTGTTCTCTCTCCCCCCCCCCCCCACCCCTGTTCTCTCTCTCACCCCCCTGTTCTCTCCCCCCCACCCCTGTTCTCTCTCCCCCACCCTGTTCTCTCCCCCCCACCCCTGTTCTCTCCCCCCCCACCCCTGTTCTCTCCCCCACCCCTGTTCTCTCTCCCCCACCCCTGTTCTCTCCCCCACCCCTGTTCTCTCTCCCCCACCCCTGTTCTCTCCCCCACCCCTGTTCTCTCTCCCCCACCCCCTGTTCTCTCCCCCACCCCTGTCCCCCACCCCTCTCTCCCCCACCCCTGTTTCTCTCCCCCACCCCTGTTCTCTCCCCCACCCCTGTTCTCTCTCCCCCACCCCTGTCTCTCTCCCCCACCCCTGTTCTCTCCCCCACCCCTGTTCTCTCTCCCCCACCCCTGTTCTCTCTCTCTCCCCCACCCCTGTCTCTCTCTCCCCCACCCCTGTTCTCTCTCTCTCCCCCACCCCTGTTCTCTCTCCCCCACCCCTGTTCTCTCTCCCCCACCCCTGTTCTCTCCCCCACCCCTGTTCTCTCTCCCCCACCCCTGTTCTCTCTCCCCCACCCCTGTTCTCTCTCCCCCACCCCTGTTCTCTCTCCCCCACCCCTGTTCTCTCTCCCCCACCCCTGTTCTCTCTCCCCCACCCCTGTTCTCTCTCCCCCACCCCTGTTCTCTCTCCCCCACCCCTGTTCTCTCTCCCCCCCCTGTTCCCTGTTCTCTCCCCCACCCCTGTTCTCTCCCCCCACTCCTGTCTCTCTCCCCCACCCCTGTTTCTCTCCCCCCACCCCTGTTCTCTCCCCCACCCCTGTTCTCTCCCCCACCCCTGTTCTCTCTCCCCCACCCCTGTTCTCTCTCCCCACCCCTGTTCTCTCCCCCACCCCTGTTCTCTCCCCCACCCCTGTTCTCTCCCCCCCACCCCTGTTCTCTCTCCCCCACCCCTGTTCTCTCCCCCACCCCTGTCTCTCTCCCCCACCCCTGTTCTCTCCCCCACCCCTGTTCTCTCCCCCACCCCTGTTCTCTCTCCCCCACCCCTGTTCTCTCCCCCACCCCTGTTCTCTCTCCCCCACCCCTGTTCTCTCCCCCACCCCTGTTCTCTCTCCCCCACCCCTGTTTCTCTCCCCCACCCCTGTTCTCTCCCCCACCCCTGTTCTCTCCCCCACCCTTGTTCTCTCTCTCCCCCACCCCTGTTCTCTCCCCCACCCCTGTTCTCTCCCCACCCCTGTTCTCTCCCCCACCCCTGTTCTCTCTCCCCCACCCCTGTCTCTCTCCCCCACCCCTGTTCTCTCTCCCCCACCCCTGTTCTCTCCCCCACCCCTGTTCTCTCCCCCACCCCTGTTCTCTCCCCCACCCCTGTTCTCTCCCCCACCCCTGTTCTCTCCCCCACCCCTGTTCTCTCCCCCACCCCTGTTCTCTCCCCCACCCCTGTTCTCTCCCCCACCCCTGTTCTCTCCCCCACCCCTGTTCTCTCTCCCCCACCCCTGTTCTCTCTCCCCCACCCCTGTTCTCTCTCCCCCACCCCTGTTCTCTCTCCCCCACCCCTGTTCTCTCCCCCACCCCTGTTCTCTTCTCTCCCCCACCCCTGTTCTCTCCCCCACCCCTGTTCTCTCTCCCCCCACCCCTGTTCTCTCCCCCACCCCTGTTTCTCTCCCCCACCCCTGTTCTCTCTCCCCCACCCCTGTTCTCTCTCCCCCCACCCCTGTTCTCTCCCCCACCCCTGTTCTCTCCCCCACCCCTGTTCTCTCCCCCACCCCTGTTCTCTCCCCCACACCCTGTTCTCTCCCCCACCCCTGTTCTCTCCCCCACCCCTGTTCTCTCCCCCACCCCTGTTTCTCTCCCCCACCCTGTTGTTCTCTCTCCCCCACCCCTGTTTCTCCCCCACCCCTGTTCTCTCCCCCACCCCTGTTCTCTCCCCCACCCCTGTTTCTCTCCCCCACCCCTGTTCTCTCTCCCCCACCCCTGTTCTCTCCCCCACCCCTGTTCTCTCCCCCACCCCTGTTCTCTCCCCCACCCCTGTTCTCTCCCCCACCCCTGTCTCTCTCCCCCACCCCTGTTCTCTCCCCCACCCCTGTTCTCTCTCCCCCCCCCCTGTTCTCTTCCCCCACCACTCTCCCCCCCCCCTGTTCTCTCCCCCCCCCTTGTTCTCTCTCCCCCTCCCCCCTCCCCCACCCCTGTTCTCTCCCCCACCCCTGTTCTCTCTCTCCCCCACCCCTGTTCTCTCCCCCACCCCTGTTCTCTCCCCCACCCCTGTTCTCTCCCCCACCCCTGTTCTCTCCCCCACCCCTGTTCTCTCCCCCACCCCTGTTCTCCCCCTCCCCCACCCCTGTTCTCTCCCCCACCCCTGTTCTCTCTGTTCTCTCCCCCACCCCTGTTCCCCACCCCTCTCTCTCCCACCCCTGTTCTCTCCCCCACCCCTGTCTCTCCCCCACCCCTGTTCTCTCCCCCACCCCTGTTCTCTCCCCCACCCCTGTTCTCTCCCCCACCCCTGTTCTCTCCCCCACCCCTGTTCTCTTCTCTCTCCCCCACCCCTGTTCTCTCCCCCACCCCTGTTCTCTCCCCCACCCCTCTCTCCCCCACCCCTGTTCTCTCCCCCACCCCTGTTCTCTCCCCCACCCCTGTTCTCTCCCCCACCCCTGTTCTCTCCCCACCCCTGTTCTCTCCCCCACCCCTGTTCTCTCCCCCACCCCTGTTCTCTCCCCCACCCCTGTTCTCTCCCCACCCCTGTTCCTCCCCCACCCCTGTTCTCTCCCCCACCCCCCACCCCTGTTCTCTCTGTTCCCCCACCCCTGTTCTCTCCCCCACCCCTGTTCTCTCCCCCACCCCTGTTCTCTCCCCCACCCCTGTTCTCTCCCCCACCCCTGTTCTCTCCCCCACCCCTGTTCTCTCCCCCACCCCTGTTCTCTCCCCCACCCCTGTTCTCTCCCCCACCCCTGTTCTCTCTCCCCCCCCCTGTTCTCTCCCCCACCCCTGTTCTCTCCCCCACCCCTGTTCTCTCCCCCACCCCTGTTCTCTCCCCCACCCCTGTTCTCTCCCCCACCCCTGTTCTCTCCCCCACCCCTGTTCTCTCCCCCACCCTGTTCTCTCTCCCACCCCTGTTCTCTCTCCCACCCCTGTTCTCTCCCCCACCCCTGTTCTCTCCCCCACCCCTGTTTCTCTCCCCCACCCCTGTTCTCTCCCCCACCCCTGTTCTCTCCCCCACCCCTGTTCTCTCCCCCACCCCTGTTCTCTCTCCCACCCCTGTTCTCTCCCCCACCCCTGTTCTCTCTCCCACCACTGTTCTCTACCCCACCCCTGTTCTCTCCCCCACCCCTGTGTCTCTCCCCCCCCCCTGTTTCTCTCCCCCACCCCTGTCCTCTCTCCCCAACCCTTGTTCTCTCTCCCCCACCCCTGTTCTCTCCCCCACCACTGTTCTCTCTCCCCCACCACTGTTCTCTCTCCCCCACCACTGTTCTCTCTCCCCCACCACTGTTCTCTCTCCCCCATCCCTGTTCTCTCTCCCCCACCCCTGTTCTCTCTCCCCCACCCTGTTCTCTCTCCCCCACCCTTGTTCTCTCTCCCCCACCCTTGTTCTCTCTCCCCACCCTTGTTCTCTCTCCCCCACCCCTGTTCTCTCTCCCCCACCCTTGTTCTCTCTCCCCCACCCTTGTTCTCTCTCCCCCACCCTTGTTCTCTCTCCCCCACCCCTGTTCTCTCTCCCCCACCCCTGTTCTCTCTCCCCCACCCCTGTTCTCTCTCCCCCACCCCTGTTCTCTCTCCCCCACCCTTGTTCTCTCTCCCCCACCCTTGTTCTCTCTCCCCCACCCCTGTTCTCTCTCCCCCACCCTTGTTCTCTCTCCCCCACCACTGTTCTCTCTCCCCCACCACTGTTCTCTCTCCCCCACCACTGTTCTATCTCCCCCACCCTTGTTCTCTCTCCCCCACCCCTGTTCTCTCCCCCACCCTGTCCTCTCTCCCCAACCCTTGTTCTCTCTCCCCCACCCCTGTTCTCTCCCCCACCACTGTTCTCTCTCCCCCACCACTGTTCTCTCTCCCCCACCACTGTTCTCTCTCCCCCACCACTGTTCTCTCTCCCCCACCCCTGTTCTCTCTCCCCCACCCCTGTTCTCTCTCCCCCACCCCTGTTCTCTCTCCCCCACCCTTGTTCTCTCTCCCCCACCCTTGTTCTCTCTCCCCCACCCTTGTTCTCTCTCCCCCACCCTGTTCTCTCTCCCCCACCCTTGTTCTCTCTCCCCCACCCTTGTTCTCTCTCCCCCACCCTTGTTCTCTCTCCCCCACCCTTGTTCTCTCTCCCCCACCCCTGTTCTCTCTCCCCCACCCCTGTTCTCTCTCCCCCACCCCTGTTCTCTCTCCCCCACCCTTGTTCTCACTCCCCCACCCTTGTTCTCTCTCCCCCACCCTTGTTCTCTCTCCCCCACCCTTGTTCTCTCTCCCCCACCACTGTTCTCTCTCCCCCACCACTGTTCTCTCTCCCCCACCCTTGTTCTCTCTCCCCACCACTGTTCTCTCTCCCCCACCCTTGTTCTCTCTCCCCCACTCCTGTTCTCTCTCCCCCACTCCTGTTCTCTCTCCCCCACCCCTGTTCTCTCTCCCCCACCCCTGTTCTCTCCCCCACCCCTGTTCTCTCTCCCCCACCCCTGTTCTCTCCCCCACTCCTGTTCTCTACCCACTGGGGCGTCATGATCCTCCTGTTGCTTATTGTTCCTCTTTGGAGCTTCACACACATTTTTTGTCCCCTATTCCTAGCCGCCCCTCTGCCAGATACCCTCAGATACCCCTCTGCCAGATACCCTCAGATACCCCCTCTGGCAGATACCCTCAGATACCCCCTCTGGCAGATACCCTCAGATACCCCTCTGGCAGATACCCTCAGATACCCCCTCTGGCAGATACCCTCAGATACCCCCTCTGCCAGATACCCTCAGATACCCCCTCTGCCAGATACCCTCAGATACCCCTCTGGCAGATACCCTCAGATACCCCTCTGCCAGATACCCTCAGATACCCCCTCTGGCAGATACCCTCAGATACCCCCTCTGGCAGATACCCTCAGATACCCCCTCTGCCAGATACCCTCAGATACCCCCTCTGGCAGATACCCTCAGATACCCCCTCTGCCAGATACCCTCAGATACCCCTCTGGCAGATACCCTCAGATACCCCCTCTGCCAGATACCCTCAGATACCCCCTCTGGCAGATACCCTCAGATACCCCCTCTGGCAGATACCCTCAGATACCCCTCTGCCAGATACCCTCAGATACCCCTCTGGCAGATACCCTCAGATACCCCTCTGGCAGATACCCTCAGATACCCCTCTGGCAGATACCCTCAGATACCCCTCTGCCAGATACCCTCAGATACCCCTCTGGCAGATACCCTCAGATACCCCTCTGGCAGATACCCTCAGATACCCCTCTGCCAGATACCCTTAGATACCCCTCTGGCAGATACTCTCAGATACCCCTCTGCCAGATACCCTCAGATACCCCTCTGGCAGATACCCTCAGATACCCCTCTGGCAGATACCCTCAGATACCCCTCTGCCAGATACCCTCAGATACCCCTCTGGCAGATACCCTCAGATACCCCTCTGCCAGATACCCTCAGATACCCCTCTGGCAGATACCCTCAGATACCCCTCTGCCAGATACCCTTAGATACCCCTCTGGCAGATACTCTCAGATACCCCTCTGCCAGATACCCTCAGATACCCCTCTGGCAGATACTCTCAGATACCCCTCTGCCAGATACCCTTAGATACCCCTCTGCCAGATACCCTCAGATACCCCTCTGCCAGATACCCCTCTGCCAGATACTCTCAGATACCCCTCTGCCAGATACCCCTCTGCCAGATACTCTCAGATACCCCTCTGCCAGATACCCTCAGATACCCCTCTGCCAGATACCCTCAGATACCCCTCTGCCAGATACCCCTCTGCCAGATACTCTCAGATACCCCTCTGCCAGATACACTCAGATACCCCTCTGCCAGATACTCTCAGATACCCCTCTGCCAGATACCCTCAGATACCCCTCTGCCAGATACTCTCAGATACCCCTCTGCCAGATACCCTCAGATACCCCTCTGCCAGATACTCTCAGATACCCCTCTGCCAGATACCCTCAGATACCCCTCTGGCAGATACCCTCAGATACTCCTCACATACCCCTCTGGCAGATACCCCTCTGCCAGATACCCTCAGATACCCCTCTGCCAGATACCCTCAGATACCCCTCTGCCAGATACCCTTAGATACCCCTCTGCCAGATACCCTTAGATACCCCTCTGCCAAATACTCCTCACATACCCCTCTGGCAGATACCCTCATTTACCCCTCTGCCAGATACCCTCCACATACCCCTCTGCCAGATACCCTCCACATACCCCTCTGCCAGATACCCTCCACATACCCATCTGCCAGATATCCTCCACATACCCCTCTGCCAGATACCCTCCACATACCCCTCTGGCAGATACCCTCCACATACCCCTCTGGCAGATACCCTCCACATACCCCTCTGCCAGATACCCTCCACATACCCCTCTGCCAGATACCCTCCACATACCCCTCTGCCAGATACCCTCAGATACCCCTCTGCCAGATACCCTCAGATACCCCTCTGCCAGATACCTTCCACATACCCCTCTGCCAGATACCCTCCACATACCCCTCTGGCAGATACCCTCACATACCCCTCTGCCAAATACCCTCCACATACCCCTCTGCCAGATACCCTCCACATACCCCTCTGCCAGATACCCTCCACATACCCCTCTGCCAGATACCCTCCACATACCCCTCTGCCAGATACCCTCACATACCCCTCTGCCAGATACCCTCCACATACCCCTCTGCCAGATACCCTCCACATACCCCTCTGGCAGATACCCTCCACATACCCTCCACATCTCTGCCCCTCACCTCACTGAGGGGAGACTAGAGATATATTATTCTATTCCTCAAGTCTTTGTTCGTCCCTCTCGCTTCGTTTGCTGTCGTTCACCGTCTCTTTGTCTTCAGTATTTTCACATTTCAACACTTAATTTAATAAGCGTTTACGACACAATATGAGCGAGGGCACTACTAACAACAGGAGAATGGTCGTAGAGGTAGAGCGATGCTGCTGTTATTGCTACTATTCGTGCCCTTACTGATGCTACCTTTATTGAAATAGTGGGAATACTAGACCATATACGGCACGCATACACAATAGTGGGAATACTAGACCATATACGGCACGCATACACAATAGTGGGAATACTAGACCATATACGGCACGCATACACAATAGTGGGAATACAGAGACCATATACGGCACACATACACAATAGTGGGAATACACAGACCATATACGGCACACATACACAATAGTGGGAATACACAGACCATATACGGCATACATACACAATAGTGGGAATACAGAGAACATATGGCACACATACACAATAGTGGGAATACAGAGAACATATGGCACACATACACAATAGTGGGAATACACAGACCATATACGGCACACATACACAATAGTGGGAATACTAGACCATATATGGCACGCATACACAATAGTGGGAATACTAGACCATATATGGCACACATACACAATAGTGGGAATACACAGACCATATATGGCACGCATACACAATAGTGGGAATACACAGACCATATACGGCACACATACACAATAGTGGGAATACTAGACCATATATGGCACGCATACACAATAGTGGGAATACACAGACCATATACGGCACACATACACAATAGTGGGAATACACAGACCATATACGGCACGCATACACAATAGTGGGAATACACAGACCATATATGGCACGCATACACAATAGTGGGAATACACAGACCATATACGGCACACATACACAATAGTGGGAATACACAGACCATATACGGCACGCATACACAATAGTGGGAATACACAGACCATATACGGCACACATACACAATAGTGGGAATACAGAGACCATATATGGCACACATACACAATAGTGGGAATACACAGACCATATATGGCACGCATACACAATAGTGGGAATACACAGACCATATATGGCACACATACACAATAGTGGGAATACTAGACCATATATGGCACACATACACAATAGTGGGAATACACAGACCATATATGGCACACATACACAATAGTGGGAATACACAGACCATATACGGCACACATACACAATAGTGGGAATACTAGACCATATACGGCACGCATACACAATAGTGGGAATACTAGACCATACATGGCACACATACACAATAGTGGGAATACACAGACCATATACGGCACACATACACAATAGTGGGAATACACAGACCATATATGGCACACATACACAATAGTGGGAATACTAGACCATACATGGCACACATACACAATAGTGGGAATACACAGACCATATACGGCACACATACACAATAGTGGGAATACAGAGACCATATATGGCACGCATACACAATAGTGGGAATACACAGACCATATATGGCACGCATACACACAAGATAAAAGCTCCTACTTTCTGGAACGGAGACGAGAGAGATATTACATAATGTTGATATCACTGTAGAGACATCAGAGAACACTGTATAAGCATTAGATCACTGTGTAAACATCCGAACACTGTATAAACATAAAAGAACACTGTATAAACATAAAAGAACACTATAAACATCAAACAACACTGTATAAACATCAAATAACACTGTATAAACATCAGAGAACACTGTATAAACAGCAGAGAACACTGTATGTGTCCTACTACTGGATAAACATCAGAAAACAATGTATTTATACTACTGTATAAACATCAGAGAACAATGTATAAATCTCAGGGAACACTGTATAAACATAAGAGAACACTATAAACATAAGAGAACACTATAAACATAAGAGAACACTATAAACATAAGAGAACACTATAAACATAGGAGAACACTATAAACATAAGAGAACACTATAAACATAAGAGAACACTATAAACATAAGAGAACACTATAAACATAAGAGAACACTATAAACATCAGAGAACACTGTATAAACATCAGAGAACACTATAAACATAAGAGAACACTATAAACATCAGAGAACACTGTATAAACATAAGAGAACACTATAAACATTAGGGAACACTGTATAAACATCAGAGCTCCACGAGAATTCAATATCCCAGCGTGAATAGGAAATATAAGCCATACAAAACGCAGGAGTATGCTCAAGGAGTATGTTCACACACAGGCGTGTTCAAGGCCGCATTGTATACCTTAGTGCATGAAGCGACGGTTCTTGAGGATATGCGGGTCTGATACTACTACTGTTACTACTGCTGCTGCTGTTACTTCTGATGCTGCTGCTGCTGTTACTACTACTGCTGCTGCTGCTGTTACTACTGCTGCTGCTGCTGTTACTACTGCTGCTGCTGCTGTTACTACTGCTGCTGTTGCTGCTGTTACTACTGCTGCTGCTACTGTTACTACTGCTGCTGCTACTGTTACTACTGCTGCTGCTGCTGCTGTTACTACTGCTGCTGCTGCTGTTACTACTGCTGCTGCTACTGTTACTACTGCTGCTGTTACTACTGCTGCTGCTGTTACTACTGCTGCTGCTACTGTTACTACTACTGCTGCTACTGTTACTACTGCTGCTGCTGCTGTTACTACTGCTGCTGCTACTGTTACTACTGCTGCTGCTGCTGTTACTACTGCTGCTGCTGTTACTACTACTGCTGCTACTGTTACTACAACTGCTGCTGTTACTACTGCTGCTGCTGCTGTTACTACTACTGCTGCTGCTGTTACTACTGCTGCTGCTGTTACTACTGCTGCTCCTGTTACTACTGCTGCTGCTGTTACTGCTGCTGCTGCTGTTACTACTACTGCTGCTGCTGTTACTACTGCTGCTGCTGCTGTTACTACTGCTGCTGCTGCTGTTACTACTACTGCTGCTGTTACTACTGCTGCTGCTGCTGTTACTACTGCTGCTGCTGTTACTACTGCTGCTGCTGCTGTTACTACTGCTGCTGCTGCTGTTACTACTGCTGCTGCTGCTGTTACTACTACTGCTGCTGCTGTTACTACTGCTGCTGCTGCTGTTACTACTGCTGCTGCTGCTGTTACTACTACTGCTGCTGTTACTACTGCTGCTGCTGCTGTTACTACTGCTGCTGTTACTACTACTGCTGCTGTTACTACTGTTGCTGCTACTGTTACTACTGCTGCTGCTGCTGTTACTACTGCTGCTGCTACTGTCACTACTGCTGCTGCTACTGTTACTACTGCTGCTGCTGTTACTACTGCTGCTGCTGTTACTACTGCTGCTGCTACTGTCACTACTGCTGCTGCTGCTGTTACTACTGTTGCTGCTACTGTCACTACTGCTGCTGCTACTGTTACTACTGATGCTGCTACTGTTACTACTGCTGCTGCTACTGTTACTAATGGTGCTGCTGCTGTTACTACTGCTGCTGCTACTGTTACTACTGCTGCTGCTACTGTTACTACTGCTGCTACTGTTACTACTGATGCTGCTACTGTTACTACTGCTGCTGCTACTGTTACTACTGCTGCTGCTGCTGTTACTACTGCTGCTTCTGCTGTTACTACTACTGCTGCTGCTGTTACTACTGCTGCTGCTACTGTCACTACTGCTGCTGCTACTGTTACTACTGCTGCTGGTACTGTTACTACTGCTGCTGCTGCTACTGTTACTACTACTGCTGCTACTGTCACTACTGCTGCTGCTACTGTTACTACTGCTGCTGCTACTGTTACTACTGCTGCTGCTACTGTTACTACTGCTGCTGCTGCTGTTACTACTGCTGCTGCTGCTGTTACTACTGCTGCTGCTGCTGTTACTACTACTGCTGCTGTTACTACTGCTGCTGCTACTGTTACTACTGCTGCTGCTACTGTCACTACTGCTGCTGCTACTGTTACTACTGCTGCTGCTGCTGTTACTGCTGCTGCTGCTGTTACTACTGCTGCTGGTACTGTTACTACTGCTGCTGGTGCTGTTACTACTGCTGCTGGTACTGTTACTACTGCTGCTGCTACTGTTACTACTGCTGCTGGTACTGTTACTACTGCTGCTGGTACTGTTACTACTGCTGCTGCTACTGTTACTACTGCTGCTGCTACTGTTACTACTGCTGCTGCTACTGTTACTACTGCTGCTGGTACTGTTACTACTGCTGCTGCTGCTATTGTTACTACTGCTGCTACTGTTACTGCTGCTGCT